AGGGCTTCTGGAGTGGAAATTTTTGTTTTATTTTGCTTTTAGTATTTTAAGGTATATTTTGTTAATTGGCAGCACTGTATCAGAATTCCATTATTAAAACTTGTTCATTCTTGTACAATAACAAAAAAATAATAATGCCTAATTCTTAGAAAAAAAAGACCTCTTAAAATCACTGAGACCAAATAGCAAAAATATTTAAACGAACATTTCCCCAAAGATAAGGACAGCAAGTAAGAACATGAAAATAAGTCCAATATCATTATTCATTAGGGAAATGCAAATTAAGGTCACAATGAGATAGCACCATCTACTTTTCATTTCAGGATGAAAATGAAAAAGACTACCAAAAATTGAGTAAGCATGAGGAATAGCTGCAACTCTTATGCACAGGTGGAAAGGTAAAATGGTATTATCATTTCATAAAATAGCTTGTTTTTTGTAAATGTTTAAGGTATAACTAAACAGAACCCAGATATTCCACTCCTAGTTCTTTAATCAAAAGAAATGTAAGTATATAATCATACAAAGACTAGTACGTGAATTTTCAAATAGATTTACATTCAACAATGAAAAAACTCCATCAACAAATGAAATGTATCTACAAAACTGGTACATCTATACAATGGAATACTATATACAGCAATAAAAGGAGCAAACTCAAACTGATGAATACCTCAACATGGGTAAATCTCAAAATAATTATGCTGACAAAAAAGACATTAGGCCAAAAATAAAAGTACATACTGAAAGATTCCATTTGTAAAAAATTCTAAAAAATGGAAAATAATCTTTCTGACAGAAAACAGATCAGTAATTTGGGATAGGTAAGAGAAGGAAGGAATGGATTACATAGGAATGAAAGTACTTCTGATGATGTTCATTATCTTGATTGTGCTGATAGTTTCATGTGATAATATACACATATATATGTCAAAATAGTAATTTGAATGTTTCCAATATTTGTTGTTTACTGAGCTACAACTATATCTCAATAAAGCTGTAAAATAAAGTATCAGTATGGTAAGTACTCCATAAATATCAGTTATTATTGTTCTTACTGAGGTATAAAACCTTGAAAACAGAAAAAAAAAAACCCTGAAGAATCTGGAATACTTGTCTAATGAACACATCATTAATGAAATTCGCTCTAGTTCAAGAATAAGGAAGAACCTACAAAGATTTTAGCTCTCTGAGGAATCAGGAAATCTTATAACCCTTCAAGACATCAATAACCCACTCAGCAACAAAACTGTAACAAAAATAACCAGAAAATGCAAAAGCAGAACATATCAACATAAAGACAAAGAAACCCTAGATGCCCAATGGGAGTTGGATAAGATGGAGAAAACTCCAATGTTTTCATAGTACGGGTCTTTCCAGCTCATCAAAAGAGTAACATTAATTTCCTCTTATCCCTCATGCCAGATGAGCAGTCTTTAAAAATTTTTTTTTTTGGTACCAGAGATTGAACTTGGGTCCTTGCACCTGCGAGGCAGGCGGTGGAACCACTGAGCTAAATCCCCAGCCCCTGCAGTCTCCTAATCAATTCTTTTTTTTGGAACTGGGGATTGAACTTGGGACCTTGTGCTTTTGAGGCAGGTGGAGGCACCACTGTGCTAAATCTCCACCCCATTCTAATCAATTCTTAATTCCCAGAGGTGCCCAAGGGATGGGGACAACTTGATTATTTATTAACTAAGATTTACTGACTGCTTACTAAGTGTAAGGCATTAATTTAACCTTTGTGAGTAAACTGAGGCACAGAGAGACAATTTTCTGCAAAGTCACAGAACTGTTAGTACAGTCTGAGTCAACCCACACAGTCTGACGCAAAAGTCCATGTTCTTTACCATAAAACCATACACTACACTGCTTTCCTTATCAGACAAGTTTTCTTGCCTTTACAACACATTGAGAATGAAATCTCTCTATTAACATCAGTTTTTCTTTCCTCTGAGCTGCCATATCCTAAGAACTGAATTAAGCTACAAATGACATACTTTCAGCTAGAAGACATTTTATAAATTATTACTTTCTTTAAAAAGTAATTCTATTAGCTTAGAAATCACTAAAATGGAATCCTTAAAATAGATTACTCTCCTTCTGTCTTTACTCAGTTTTATGATTAATTTAGGACCTCTAATAGAAAGTGGTTTTACATATTGAAACATTCTTTACAGGAAAAAGAAGCCTATTTGATAATTTAGTACCCAACATTTCTTTTTAAGGGGAGTTCATTCCTACAGAGAAGACACTAGGAATTAATTTTACTTCTTCTGAAATGGATGAGAAATCAAACACACATTATACGTAGACTAATTTACTTTGAAACTAGCCTTAATACTTAGAAAAAAAGAGTATAAAACTTTAATAATCAATGCTACTTACTGAGTCAGCTAATATATAGATACACACAGTTACAGAGACAATCTTATTTCCCAAGGCAACATTACCGACTATCTGCTATAGGGCAGGTACTGTTCTATGTAGAGAAGATACAGCAGGGAATAAAACAGACTCAAATTTGTATCCTCATAGTACTTATATTCTAGAGGGATGAATCTGACAGACAACACACAAATGAGAAGAACATATACACGGTATGTCTAATGATGATCTCTAATGAGGTAAAACAAGGCAGAGGGTTAGAAGGCAGGGACTTGGATGATGGGAGTGATTGAGAAGAAATGGGTGGCAAGTGCTCTTTTAATCAGTCTCTCTTCAAAGATATTTAGGTCAAATTACAGGGAATGTGTATACTAAAGCAATAAACAGAAATTCAATTCATTCTCATGCCTACTAAAAAAAACTGCAAACAAGCCAGGCTTGTTTGGCTTGTTTGGCTTTGGAAGGCTGAGGCAGGAGAATCACAAGTTTGAGCATAGCCTAGGCAACTTAGTGATGCAAGACCCTATCTCAAAATAAAAAATAAAAAAAGGGCTGAAGATGTACCTCCGTGCTCAATTTCCAGTACCAACATCACCAAAACAACCACCACCAGAAAACCCCCCAAAACAAACAAAGAACCAAAAAACCTCCACCACCACCACCACCACCACCAACAACAATGACAATAAATATGTACCAGACAGGAAGATTTGAGGATTAAAAAGTCTGGAAGGGCAAAAAAACATCAGATGAGTATTTGCTAGGTCCAAAAGGGTCAGAAAAATAAACCTGAAGGGAATCACACAACATTATTCAGGTTTTTCTAATCATTATCACCAAAAATAACAGTCTCACTTCCACCTCTAATTAGGACAAAGTTCTTAAAATAATAAAGATCGAAACAAAAATTACTACTAAATTTTATATCCAATCAAGGAATACACACCATGTGACAACCCCAAAATAAAGTTAGAAATCTGAGATGAATTCTATCAGAATTAGATAAAATGAAATATTATGTAATCCTTTAAAGCACAAAGACTGGATGAAGCAAGGTGAGAAAAAAATCACTAGGTTTCTAAAATAGTGAGCTGTATGCAGTTCTAGATTTTAAAACCAATTTTCTTAAACTGCTCAAACAGAAATTAAACATTTTTCCATTAACACATGCACAAATAAGTATTAGAATGTATTAATTTTAAACCAATTTGTCCTTTTGTATAAAGTAAGAATGTAGATAATTTTTTTTCTATTATAGTCACATAATAAATTGCCAGTCATCTGAGCCAAAGGCTCAGGGCTATTTTAAAATTCTAGAATTACACAGGACTCAAACAAAGGCCCTTAAATCATTAAGTGCCCCATGAGGAATTCCTTTTAGAAGATCTCTGAAGTAATGTGTCCCACTCTTTGACAATGTTTCAAAAACTTAAGTCCTTCCTTACTTCAAATCCTCAATCCTGCCTCCCTCAGTTCCCATCTGTTTGCTTTCTTTCTTTCCTAGACTAGATAAAAAATGGTTTATCCTCTCTACTACCAATCTTTGATAAGTATCTGTGAAGACACTCACTCAAGGGTTCTCCTCTCCTGTGCAAGTATGTCCAGTTCCTTCAATATTTCAATAATATTCATAGTAGTACCTGTGTTTTTAAAGATGCACATACCATTTCATTCAAATCTCATCCTAAATCTATAAGCATACTGATACAACTTCATTCCTTCACTTAGGATGCATAAACTTAAGTCTCTCTTGGTGAACAGATAGCATACATCTTCATCTCTTGCTTGTTGTATTAGTTACTTTTCTTGTTGCTGAGACAAAATACCTGACTTTGAAAGTTAAAGGAGGAGGGCTGGCCATTTAGCTCAGTGGTACCGCCTCCTGCCTCACAAGTGCAAGGTCCTGAGTTCAATCCCTGGTACCAAAATTTAAAAAAAAAAGTTAAAGGAGGAAAGGTTTATTTAGTTCACAGTTTATAGAGGTTTCAGTCCATAATCGGCTGGCTCCAAGGCTGGGTGGCATGGCAGACAGGCATCACAGAGGCAGGCAAAAGGCAGCAAAGCAACAAGGGATGACCACAGTTCTTTCTATCCCTTATATGTTATCCAGGCTATTTAGGGTGGGTGGCACTCACACCCTTAATCCTAGTGCCCTCCATCCTAGCATTGCACCATGAATCAATCCCAATGTCAAACACTCTAGATCCAGCCACCTGTGAAAAAGCCCCACCTATGACTGCATGAGCCTTTGGGGGGACATTAGACACAAGCCGTAACACTTGGGACAATGTTTCTTGAAGGAATAGGCTTTTAATATGCACAGCAAATAGATCCTCTCCAAAAAAGAAATATCACAGAGAACAGCTGGTTTAGCATCAATGTGTAAAACAGGTTTATTCAAGCTGTAAGCAACAACCATCTGGGATGCTTATTAGAAATGCAGATTTCTAGACCTCTCCAGACTACAGGATCAAACTCTCTGGGATGGTGGCTTGAGATCCACCACTGGAGGACAAACTGCATAATTCTTGGTTATTCTTGGACTTAAGAATCATGGTCTAAAATTTAAAACGGGTTTTTGCTTCCTAAAAAAGACACTTTAAGTATCTCACCTGTAATCCAGGAATAAATCGAGTGTCCTTTTCAACCACCAGAAGTTCAGCAACATTGGCATTGAGAATGGATCTTGTGATTCCTCCTGGTCCAGGGCCCACTTCATAAACATAAGCATTTGTCAGATTTCCAGCTTTCCTTACAATTTTATCTAGAGAAAAGAAAGTTTTAGCCATTTTGATAATCTTGGCAAATTTCAATATATGAAAATTTAAACAAAATAATCTATAAAAAATTCTTATCAACTACTGCCCATTATCAACAAATCCTTTATATACAGTATATACTTGGTTAACTCTCAACCTAAATCAGCATTTAATGGTTATTTATATTCTATCACATCACTGCTTAATTTCACCCGTTAACAAAATTGAAATTAACATCAAATGCAATGTCAAATCATTAAGCTTGAGTATCAGTCTTGCTCTGCTCCCACCTAACATTCTCTGACAAGTACCCTAACCTCCCTTCACTTTGGTTTTCATAGGAAGAGTGGATAATACTATCTAGAATGTGGAACTTACTCCCAAGGTTGAATAGACACAAGAAAATATAAAGGCAGAATTTTTTAAAAAATAAAAGGCCTGAATTCTCATGCCTGAGAATGATACTTTATATTTAAAATGTGGCTAATAACTAGTAGAAAGGGCTGGTACTAGTTGCTACTAGAACCAAAGAATTTTAAGAAGTTGGGAATCTTTTAAAGTTGTTGTAGGCCTGTCTCCCAATTAAAAGACGAGAAAACCTAAGCTGTTTCATCCAAAGTAAAATTGCTACAGGTGAAATAAAGCTTGTACAAAGGGCAATCAAAAGATACTGTAAATGTTTAAATTTTTTTAAAAATTGCAATAAAGGTCACATTGCCAAGAATGATGGGATAATTGTGTTTGAAGCAAGGGGAAGTATTCTGAGCATGGGGGGGGGGTATGACAATGTATCTTTTACTACAAAAAATTTTTCAGTGTTTATTTACCATATGTCACAGGATCACTCCTTGTTAACCATACACTTAACGGCAATTTCTGTAAAATAAAAACATTACACAGTGTCCTCATCCATCTTATTCACTGGATTTGACCTGGGGGACTTCTGGCTCTTCCCCAAAGTCAAAATGACATTAAAAGGTAAATGTTTTGAATCGATTCAGGCAGTGAAACAGGATATTGCAACTGAAGATTTTCACCAAAGAGGACTTCCAGAACTTCTTCATAAAGTTGCAAGAATGATGTGTGTTCAAAGAAAAGGGGGGGAGTGTTTTGAGGAAGATTAATGGCAATGCATCTTTTACTGTATTAATTTAAAAATTTTTAATTAGTATTTTTTGAGCACACCTCGGTGTTCAAGACATAAAACTTACATATTCTTTGGGGAGTGTGCATCATTTAATGGAAATAAGCTTTTTGGGTGACTGTTCTTTTTAACTTCTGAAGAGAAGCCAAGTAGAATGCACTATCAAAATCTCAAACCATAAGCACTCCGGCGGTGAATTAGTACATATACTTGTAAAAATCTTATTCTTGGAATCTCACCTTTTACAAAAGCGATGACTAAGAAATGGGGATGGAAGGTAAGCTAAAGTATACATTTGTCAAGACTCACCAAATCAAGCACCTTAAACTGTTGGATTTCACTGTGTATAACAAGATTACCTCATAAAAAGGGACTTAAAAGAAAGATGTAGGAATGTAAACTATTTTGTAAACCCCTCCAGGACAGGCTGCCTTGTTCCTTTCCATATGGTATCCCCAGAATTAACACATAGTAGGTTGCACAATATGTATTTCCTGAATGAGTATCTGCACCTTTGAGGATTTCTTTAACTTTCATAAACGCTTAAATAATACATCTTATGAAGGATACCCTTTTGAAATAAGGTATTTAAATCTCTGCACTAATTTAAAATTCTATAACTTTAAAATGCTTGAAATGGAGCCGGGCGTGGTGGCACACGCCTGTAGTCCCAGCACTCAGGAGGCTGAGGCAGGAGGATCGCTGTGAGTTCAAGGACAGCCTGCCTAGGCTGCATAGTGAGACGGTGTCTCAAAAAACAAACTAAAAAAAAAGAAAATGCTTGAAAAGCCACTGTGCTCACCTTGTGCAGTCCCATTTCAGTGTCTGAATTTACAATGACTGATGTTCTCGTACTCACAGCCGCCTTTCCCACAGAGGACTCCTCCCTACCAAGCGCTACGCTCACCCCGTGGGGCTGGGTGGGCCCACGGCGACACGCCCCTGGGGGGGGGGCTCGAGGACAAATAACTCATTTCAAGGGTCCGGGGAGGTGGGACTTTAGTGTGATAAGGAAGGACCTGAGCGAAGAACCTGGCCAAACCCCCGCTGCATGCCCACGCCTGGCCCTGAAACCCCGCCCCCCCGCGGGGTCCGCGCTGGAGCCCGGCCCACGCCCCTGGACGCCTAGGGAGAATTGGGGCGCAGTAACAACAAATCCACCTGTCAGCCTCAAGTCCAGGAGAAAATTCTGGGACAGCTGCTTCACTGCTTGTAGTCTGAACAACTTAATGATTTCTCGAATGGTAGGCAACGGCGGGAGACGAAGAGCGCTGACTTTCCCGGAAGCTGCCATGAACTCCGCGGGCGCCGCCGGCCTCACGCGCACCTTTCCCGGAGTTTCAAACGCACCCGGCAGAGGAGGTGCCTGGGAGGTTACAGCCCGCCCCCGCACACGGCTCATTGGCCGGAGGCATCCCGTGCCGGAAGTGACGTTTATAACCGGAAATCTGGGTGCCCTGAGAACACAGGCTCTGCGTTTCGTTGAGAGTGGTGCGAGCTGGGAATGGTAGTTTATGTGTGTGAACGCAGTGACGGGGCATCCCAGCTGGAGTAGCTTGTGGAAGTGGAGAGAGGCGGGGCCTGGGAGAATTGCCCTGGTTCCGCAAGCCTGCTGTCCAGGCTCTCGACGGCCTAGATGCCTGAGCGGGAATAGCAGAAAGCAGGTGATTAGAGGCAAAACTCTTTGTTGGCAGTTCTGTCTTATAGCTAGGTGTGTTTACAACCTCACTTCTGCAGGTGCTGCATATTGCGTACCTAACTTGCTTGGCCTGTTTTTGAGTTTTACAAAGAAAAGGTTTATTTTCATCACAAGAACACAGACTATATGCAGTACACACCAACAGAAGTTTTAAAAAGTGTATTGTGCATCTTCTGCAAATTCACAGTACAAAAAATATTAAATATAGACTATATAATAAATACATACTAATGTAAAAAAAGAACAAAAACAATTTTAAAAATCATTGACATTGTTATGCAACACACGTGACTCCGTCTGCAGCTTCTGAAAAACCAAAGTAACTAACCTGGTGGAGTTGCTAATTGGGGTGGGGGAGTTGATCTGTACCTATATTTTGTTGCAAAAGGTCTCAGGACACTAACAGAGAGGAAAATAGAGCAGTGTAGGTGACGATATACCTCTATTAATCAAGAGTACAATCATTAGATGGTAAATGGATGAGATTCATGGCTGTGGTTCAGAGGGCAGAGGGCTTGTGCCACATCACCCCCAGCTGTCTGGCAAACCAAATTGTGTTCTTTTATTGGCTACAAAGGGATATGGCATGGGCCAGTGGAGGTCTGACCAGCAGGAACAACCAGTGCTGTCTAGAGACTCCTTGGAGTTGTCATGGACATACAAGGTCAAACTGTATAGCAGAATCAACATAAGCCTGGAAAAAGATAAAACTCAAGTGCTAATACATACCAACTACTGTAGACAAGACAAAGCACCAATCACCAAAGATGAGTTTTACAGTTTCACATAAACACACAGAACAGTATTTGTAAACTATCATTAAGGCACTCAATTGTGAAACAATAAGTACAGTATAGGAAGGAGGGTAGAACAGCTATCTTATAACACGAGTTACCTGGTTAGGGCAGCAGAGGCTGTGCTATCTGGCTAGAAAGACACCAGGTTCACAGAGGGGCTGAAGGTCAGAGTTAGATCTGGACAGCCAAATAGGAACAAAGTGGCCGTGTGATTCCAGATGGACCTGGGGCCTGCACTGGGCAGTGTCACTCCAGATGGTCTAGGGGATTCCTTCATAGCCCAGGAAACACAGCAAGTGTATAGATGAATAAAATGATGTACATGATAATTTGACTAAAGTTGTATGTACTATCTGTCTACCTATGATGCATATGCTAAAACATATAAATGCATATTTACAAATATGCATGCAGGATGGACTTATATTCAATTGCAGAGCAGACAATAACAAAATAAGTGGCTGTATATAGGACTAAATCAGTGACCATCATTTGGCCTTCATAGTCAGCAGGAACCTGGAGGGTTGGAACAGGACAAGTGAACCTGAACTGTCCTGTCCAAATGTCACCAAGTTTTTGATCTACCCATCTCCCTTGCCAAAGATGAAATGATTGCCCTCACAGGTTTGTGTCTCTCGGGGAGCCCTGCCAGGTAGCCAGCTAACTAGCAGAGTTGGGTGAAATGAATTTTGGCACCAAGAATTTCTAGTCACAGAAAGAAAATCCCTTCCCTTCAGGCCCCTCAGGCAAAGTTGCCTAATGTGATCCTTAACTAAATGATGCAGTATTTGTTCCTCTCAGGGAGAAACAGTCCTGGGGAGCAGGGAGTTCACAGTCTTGGGCCCTGAGACAAGATACAGAAGTACAGTGTTGCTATGAAGGTCTATTCTATTCACCCTCAGCTCCATTATGTGGCATCCTTTGGGCTATAATACAGCAAGAGGGCTTCAGAATTGATTGAAATGCTTTTGAGCTGGAGAGAGTGGGTAAGGAAAGTGGAGAAGAATGGGGCACGGGCCATACAGCACCCTGTGTAGCTACTGAGTAACATACAATACTGAGCAATAGGACATAGTGGAGAAGGGCTGATACCCAGCAGTGAGCTGTCCACAGGCAGGGGTCCTTCACAGAGAACAAGGAGGCAGAGAAGGCACAGAGGAAGAAACTGATCTTAGGAAGTTTGTGCAATCAGAGACTGTGCTAGAGATCTCTGAAATAGCTCTAGGAGAAAGAAATGCAAATTGACACTGTCAAGATTTTGGTCAGAAGGCAGCGTGGTCTTTCTTCTCTGTGACCAGTTTTCCACTTGTGCTTAACAAAACCTGGCAAGAAGACATGCATTCATGCAAGACAAGGATGTAGCAGAGTTCAGTCTAACTACTGGCATGCCATATGAATCAAGCTAGGTAGGAGGGTGAAAAGAAGCCCAAAACACAGGGTGTCAGGCTGATTAGAAAATGTTCCTCTTCCCTTAATTCAACAAAGGCATTCAGTGAGAATGGCAGTCACCAAAATCAATAACTTGCACAGCATCAATCCATGCAATCTCTGCCTGACTCTCCTTTGTGCCACTTAGATTTGGAATTTTCCTTGTCAGATGAGGTTACATACAGAGGACCAGCCAAACTGTGGCATATCTTAAGGAACAAACTTTTTTTCTGATTACTAGTGTGAATTTGTCATTGCCAACGTGGCCCTAGCCTAGCAGAATGCTTTTGCCTTGCTAATGTAACACTTTAATAAAATTTGCCATACGTTTACAGGCAGCAGGTCTGGATCTCCAAGAACAATCTTCGTCCTTTTCTTCAGGTCAAAGGGTAAACCATCAAAAAAATCAAGAATTCTTCATTTGTTTTAATGATGGGGACCAGAGACCTTGTCTGCTTAGATGTTTATTTTTGGGTTTTTTTTTTTTTTGGTACCGGGGATCGAACTCCGGTCCTTGCGCTTACACAGCAGGCAGTGAAACCACTGAGCTAAATCCCTGGCCATACTTAGATGTTGATTGATAGATTAGCTGTGCTTCTAAAAAAGAGTGGATAAGTTTGCCAAAGACCCACTTATATTTAAAATCTTCCTCACTTCCACTCTTTAATTGGACAAGAAAAATTATGGCTTTCAAAAATTAAAATTTTCAAAAATATAGCACTTCCTAAACAGATGTGTTTAAAAAACCAATACAAGCCTATCACCATCAAATTTAAAGGATTCTTTTGACATAAAAATTGATCTGCATGAAATTTAACTTGGCAAAACATAACTAAACTAGATAGTTTGTTTTTTTTTTAAATAATGCTTTTGTTGGCTGAAGAAGAAGGGGGAAACTCCAGGGTTTCAGGAGAAATGGATAATCCCCTTGTAAGGTGATTTCAGTGTCACCAGTGGGAAAACAAATTCCTTTAAAATAAAGTGATACATGTATATATTTAAAAATCATGCCAGGGAGAAAAAGTTCTCAGTGAGTGTGCTTGCCAAAACTATCAGCACTAGTTGACATAGGAAGTAGTTAGTCTTCCTGAAGACCCTGCCTGAGTGCTCTTTAGAATAGCTGCTTTGGGGACCCAGTTCTGGCCAATGGAAGATGGTGACTCATTCATCTGCTTTCTGAACTTGGTTGGCCCTAGAAGCCTTCCTGGTTTCACTGAAGGTTAATTGGTCTGACCCAGCTGAGGGCAAGATGGAATTGTGGGCAGGCCTCTATGTTCCCCACATATATTACTACTCATCATGCACAAGAGGGGCCAAATGGGAGTGGGGTACCAAGGCCTGGGGTTGGGAGGAGGGGAGAGTTTGGTTTAAGGTGTCCATGAGACGTGGGAGACCTTTGAATTTGCCTTATTTTCTTCTTGCTGCAGTGCTATGAGCAGCCTTGTGTTGTTAAATAAAACCAATAAACACCTCTAAAGTGCCTGTCAGTATTTATCTAAGGCTTTGTGTGGTTGCATAGTATTTTATTTTTCATGAGCCCCTTAAAAATGTAAAAATCAGCTGAGTGTGGTGGTGCACACCTGTAATCTCAGCCCTCAGGAGGCTGAGGTAGGAGAATTGCCGTGAGTTCAAGGCCAGCCTGGGCTACATAGTGAGTTCAAGACCAGTCTGAACTACATAATGGGACTGACTCAAACAACAACAACAAAAACATTCTTGGTCCACAGGGGCTGTACACCATTGTTTGTAGAGCCCTGACTCAAGCCCTCTGCCTTTCTACAGAGCTGCTTCTCTTTCTTCAAAATATTTTTAGAATTCTGCCTTGCTGATAGATACCAGGTGAGCCTTTGGATTCAAGGCCCAAACTGCAACCCATACTGAGTTAACTAGTTCTTCAAGGTGCTACCTAAAGACAAGGCTTGGGCTACACCTTTCTCCACTCCATCACTGCTGCTGCGGAAAACTACAGAAACAAGAAGCAGTGTTCTCCTCACAGGAAGGGATAGATATAAACTTCTGTGAAGCTTTTCATCAATCTCATTCTGCTCAGAGAAGCTGCTCAATGTGGCTCCTGGAGTGCACCCTTAGGAGTTTCCCCCCTACCAAAATCCCACTTGCCTCCCAAATAATAGTACACTAGATGGGACCTAATGAGCCTGTGGGTTAGGTTTTCTGGCAGGACAATCCCATTGCAGAGCTACCACCCTTACCAGATGTTGAAGTGCTCCCCAAACCTAAACACAACCACATGTTCAGCAGCAGATGAGGCTGCACAATGCTTTGGGGTCCTTCCCCCTCATTAGAGGTGTTGTATGCTTCATCACTAGCAACAACTGAGAACATCACACACATTTCCCCCACCTGACCCGGGTGCTGGCTTAATGCACATCACCCAGTCACAACAGTAGAACCAGGGCAGAAGACTTTAACAGAACAGGTTACTGCCTCT